ACTGCCAGCCATTTTCAGAACAGAGTCCCATACTACCAGAGTTTTTTTTAGCATTTTGACTGATTTTTCAAGAGCCACAGAATAGTTTGTGCTATGATTATGTAAACACCGAACACACCAAAAGAAAGAGTAGACTCTCTTCTTTCATCAGGAAAAATGTTTTGTTTCTACCTTATTCCGTTCTTTAGTAATCAGCAGCAGAAAATAGGTTGGTTTCAACAAAAACACCAGTTTTTGACCAATAAATGGAGAAAACAAGCTTTTTGTCTAAAGATACAGTTCAAGCAGAGAAGTGTCTTTGATGCTATTTTTTTGCTTTAGTGACACCTCAAACATCTTAAAAGTTGTATCCATCTATAAAACGGCAAAAACAACATCTAGAAAAATTAAATTACAAAATACTTTATTCGCATACATTTATGTAAATAGTTCTGAAACTAGGCCTACTCTCTCCTTTGGCCCGGGTTGATCTCCTTCATTTCCCACGATCGGGACACCAACCCAACTACTGCGACACAAACTCTGTTCGAGTATGAGCATTTTGACTGATTTTTTCAAGAGCCACAGAATAGTTTGTGCTATGACTATGTAAACACCGAACACACCAAAAGAAAGAGTAGACTCTCTTCTTTCATCAGGAAAAAATATTTGTTTCTACCTTATTCCGTTCTTCCTGGACTTGCGTCTCACCGGTGACATATTCTCTCATAGCGAACCGTTCCCTTTTTCTTATTTGCCTACAGTCTATGCTCATCTCCCATCAAAAGTGGCACTGCCCCCTAGAGGGTCAATTTGTTACTACATACTCTGTCTAGAAGCCGATATTTACGGACAAGCTTTAGCAGATCGTCCCCCAGACACTCTCGTTGAAAAACATAAAAGACGTCTATAGATGTCTTTGGCAGCCAACGGTTGTGTTTGAATTGACGTCTGTGAGTTAAAAACCGAGCCGTGTGTGGAAACCTGCAGGACGAGGCCAAACCCCACTGCAGCAAAGCGGAGGAGGAGAAAAAAAGAGAAAGAGAAAGAGAAAGTAAACGGGTTTATGGGCGTGTAACGGAGGAGGCCGGGCTCCTGGATCTGTTTACGGTTATTGTTTTCCTCCACTCATAAACTCTCACTCCGGGCTGCTCCTCTTTTTTAAATCTGATCCAGAGAGTTACGCGTGGAGCTGGAATGATCAGTATCTTTAAATTTGATTGAGGCCGCTTGCTGGGGGGGGAGTCAGAGGGGGGGGGGGGATGCGGTGTTATTGCCTCACCTTTTTCCCTCTGTGGTGGAAACCAGCCCCTGGCGTGTGAAGTCTGTGAGGTTTTCCAGATTTACAAACACACAACAGAACCTGTAAATACACGAGTTTTCCAACATCCAAAGTGAAATTCCATCAAATATTTTCGACTGGACACATGAAGTAAATTTCCAACATATTTCAAAGTCATAGAAAAAACGGCACGCTAACGCTACCATGCTAACGCTACCATGCTAACGCTACCATGCTAATGTTACCATGCTAATGCTCACGCTACCAGGACGTCTGCCACAGATAGGGGAGTAAGCTGAGGGGGGGGGGCAACATGCAGGTGAAAGGCTGGAATATT